TCTATCTCCGACCTCCTTAACACTTCTATATATATCTCTACTTGATCTCTAACCTCCATCTCTCTCTACCCTCTCTCCACTCTTACTCTGTCTCCTCTGCCTCTGACCTCCCTCTCCTCTGTTTCTCTCACGTCCTGTGGCCTCCCTCTCCTCTATTTTTCTCTCCTCTTCCTGACCATTCTCTCTATCTTCACTTTCTCGGAACTCCCTCTCTGACTCCTCTATTGCTAACCACCCTCTTTCTCTTCTTCCCCTTTAACTCTTTTACTTTGACCACCCTCTCACCTATTTCTCTCTCCTCTCCCTCTCTCCCTCTGCCTCTGACGACATCCTTCTCTCTCTCTCTCAACCCCCCTCTCACTGACCTCCATGTGCTCTATGATCAGCTCTCCTCTAATTCTCTCTATTTCTGATCTCCCTCTCTGTTCTCAACTCTGACCATCACCTCCCTCCTTCGCTTCTGCCTCTCTCCTCCCTCTGAACTTCCTCTCTGTCTCCTCTACTGCTGACCACCCTCGCTCTCTTCTTCACCTCTAACTCTCTGACCTTCCTCTAAGCTCTCTCCTTTTCCTCAGACCTCTCTCCCTCTATCTTCCTCCCCCTCTAACTCTGATCTGCCTTTTTCCTCTTCCTACTCTCTCTGTCTCCTTGATCTCTAACCTCCCTCTCTCTCCACTACTTCTCTACCCTCTAACCCCTTCCTCTGTCCTCTTTGTCTAACCTCTCTCTGTCTCTGACCTCCTTTCCTCTGTCTCTGAGTTAGCTCTCCTATATCTATAACCTCACTTCTCTATTTCTCTCCTGTCTACTTCTCACCCTGACTGCCCTCTCTCTCTCCTCTTCCTCCTACCTCTCTATCTCTGACCTCACTCTCCTCCATCTCTAACCTCCCTTTCTCTCCTCTACATCTCACTTCTCTGACCTTTCTCTCCCTCCTTTTTCTATGACATCTCTCTCTTCTGCCTCTGAGCTAGCTCTCCTCCATCTCTGACTTCTGTGTCTCTTCTCTATCTCTCCCTCCACTTTCTGGGAACTCCCTCTCTGACTCCTGAACACCCTCCTTCTCTTCTTCCTCTTTAACTCTGTCTTTTAATCTGACCACCCTCTCACCTATTTCTCTCTCCTCAAACTCATACCTCCCTCTCCTCTTCCTATGACCTCTCTACTGCTCTATCGCCTCTACCTCTTCGCTCATTCTCTCTCTCTCTCTCCCCACTTTTCCTCTGAGATGTCTCTTCTCTAAATCTACCCTCTATATCCTCTCTCTCCTTCATCTCTAACCTCCCTCTCCTCTTCCTCCACCCCCTCTCTTCTGTCTCTCTTCACTTTCTTTGAAATCTCTGTCGCCTCTATTGATGAACACCATCTCTCTCCTCTGCCCCCCCACTTCTCTGTCCTCCCTATCTCCGCTCTCTCCTTGATCCTAACTTCCCTCTCTCCACTCTTACTCTGACCTCCTCTCCTCTATTCCTGACTTCGCTGTACTCCCTATCCTACTCCACTGATCTCTCTCTCTCTCTCC